AATTTGTCCCTTCTGATAACAGATTGTCGAAACGCAAAGCAAAAAATAGATAAGTAAAAAATAAACATGATAGCTTCAATATTTACATTTATAAACTACTCGGTGTGATGCGAGGAGGTTATGAAAGCATCTGCCTGGTGTAGCCTGCTTAATTAACTGTTGTAGTTATGTTTATCCAGCTAATAAATGCTAACACTTTAAATGCTCAGAACATCCATTTAACCGGTAAATATACACCGATCAGGCATAACATTATGACCACCTGTACATCTGTATGCACTTAAGTGCAACACCTCCGCTTTAACGTTTGTGTTTATGAAGCTCAAAATGTTTGTTTTTGGTGAAATTGTCATAAATGTATAAATTCAATTATATGTTTATTATTGAGGTCATAGTTAAAGGTGGTGTTGTACTGGACTACATTATATTCAGAGGTGTCTGTATATTTTTGTCCTGCCCATTGACATAAATGAGAGGGTCAGAATATTAGCAACACCTCTGAAATTGTCACTGTGTCACACAGTCTGCAAACCCAAATATTTGTGTCACAAAATTATCTGCTATATTTGTTTATGTTGCCAGTTTGATGGTATTATTGCATATTTAAGTATTATTGTTAATATAGAAGTAAAAACAAAAGAAGATGCAGTCTAAAATATATATATATTCACAATATATTGCTGATTATAATAGATGTGAATCATAATCAGGCCATGTTGGGGACCTCAGTGTAAAGAAGAACAAGCCTCTTATCTATGTGAGGTGTTGCTGCAGTGGGTAATCTTTTAAAGGGCTAGAGGATATTGCCTGCAGTGCAGAATCTCATTAGAGCAACAGCAGCTAGGCAGTAGTGGCCTAAAAGGTTAAAGAAGCAAACTTGTCCAGCCGCTGGCTCTGTCCATTTAACCTGGCAGGTTTCAATCTGCCCCGACCCTCATTAACACCATCAATACCACTGTGGTGCCCTTAAGCAAGGTCCTTAACCCAAACTCCTCCATTGGAGCTGCTCATTGGCCACAGGTCAGTCTGTGGTTGTAGTGGGCAGCTTCCGGGTGTGAGTATAACTGTGTGAATGTGAGTAGGGCATTGCTGAAAAAGAGAGGCGGCTTCTCAGCTAACCCACCCAGAATAAATAAAGGTTAACGACATCTTGGACCAGAAAAGTATGATGCTTCTGTCTTTTCTGAGCTTAAATTTAAGACGGGGCCTTTTCAGAGACGGATGCAAAGATGTATCTTAGACTCACCCTGCCCCTGGGGTCGGGGTTAGGGCGTTTTGAAAGCCATAAAGGCAAGGAAGATCTATGTGTGTTTGTGTTGCTAGAAACATCAGATGAGACTTTTTCTGTATAGCATGCATGTGATACAAACTGTTCAGCTTTCTTCTGTACATTTCTGTGAAAAGCACAGTCCCCTCTGTTGTCCAGAGGGGATGTTTGCTCAGCACCAATGGTGCCTTTTTTTTAAATTTTTTATGAAGGTCCACTGCAGACACAACAGCACTGTCTCCATGGAGGCAAACCGGATATTAACTCTCACAGCCATCACTCTCCCATTTTACTCTGTCTTGGGCACCCACACCACCACTTGCATCCAGACACCCTGACAGTCAATCCTTCTTGGTTCTCTGTGTCCCTCACACTATGTTAAGCTGAGTAAAACAGAAATATAACTCTTCTGACAAGCCCCTCTTTTACGAGGCCAGGACAGCGAGATCAAGTAGACAGTGTTGGACCTAAATATAATATTATGTCAAGAGTAAGTGAGTGCGTGTGTGTTTCCCTAAACTAATTTGGTATAAATCAGTAGGGAACTCTTGACACCTAATCAAGCCACAGAAAGCATACATTATTCAAGTAAAGTGTTTAGCACATGCAGTAACCTTTGTTTGCATGTGCAAAAGCAATTGCACAACAATCCTGACTTTGAACACTGTGCTACTACTAAAGGTTTTATTAAGTCTTGGCCTTGGTGTATAAACCAGTGCTTACAAATGTCTTGGTTTCAAGGGGACAAGCATGCCATATTTACCTTGTAATCAGAGCCCGTTTGTTTTGTGTAGCACAAACCTCTATTGCCATTGGAAACAAAAATGATACATCTTCCACTTTCATTTGCACCTTCATCACTAAAGTCCCTGCCAGGCCTGGGTGGACTCAAAAGGCCTGTTTTCCCCTGAAAGGAGGCCCAGTTCCAGTGCAGTGTGCAGGGGGGCTGCATTACCCCCTCCTCCCCCTTCTCTTTCACCACATGCTGGAGCAGCAGAGCCAGAGACTGATAGGCAGTGCGATTCTCTGCAGCAGGGTAATGTCACCCTGGCTCACCATCACAGCTCACTCTGTACCTTTATTCTCCTCTGAGCCTTTAAATGGTTCATTAGCCTTTTAACAAGACTCCAGAGCCTGCTCCAGACTCTGCTTTAACCCTTTTCTCTCTGGCTCACATTTTCACTCTGCCAATATCTGCCTGAAGTCTAGACAGTTTTCCAGTCACTGTCTATATTTGTAAAATTCAGTTTCATTTTCAGAGTTGCAATGCAGTCGGTTAATAGTGTTTTGTGATTCTGATCACTGCAAAGGACGTCTAACAGCAGTAGAATAAATGGCAGGGGGTTGGTGTGGACTGAAGCCCTCCTCATGGACACCCACCCTGAATGGAGAACATTGATGCTTCTCTATCCTGCTTCTCCCCCCTACTTGCTATCCCTCTTTCCCCAGATTGTCATTCCCTGAATGGGCCTTTCAGGGCTCCAGGCAAGCAGGCCGAGATACAAAACCTTCCTCTGCAAGATAAAAGGACAGAGCCCTGGGCCATCTGAAGGCGTTAGTCAGCTAGTCGCAACCATCCAAGCTCATCACACCTATACTGTGAACACACAACATACTGTCGACCTTTTCACTATCAAGGCACAAGCAGGGTACTTTACTTCCTCTGTAGAAACACACACATTTGTGTCTTCTTACCATGTAGTGTCAGAAAATCTAAATCCTGTCATTTGCCATCTGCCCCAGTTTCTAGTTTATTCACCAGTTTTGAAATTTGATGGCTTTTAAATGGATCACTGACAAGTTTGTTAGTGTCTTCTTTGAGCCTTAGCTTGAATATTTTCCATTCTTGTGTTCTCTAACACTGCCCTGGTACCTTTCTGAAAAATGTGCTTTTGATCTGTGATTAACTTTGCATGAATCCTGTACCTTTTGAAATAAACCTGTATCCCACATCTCTACTATAAAGCAAACTTGACTTCACAAAGTGAAAGAAATATATTTTTTCCAGAGCTGTAAATCTTAAATATTGAAAGGTCGTTGTTTTTTTTTCTATTGTTCAGTATTATTTGTGCATTATTTCTCTGTTATGTAAGATTTTCTAGCTCACCACCGTATCATTTTTAAAAGCTGTCAGCAATTCCTTCATTTCTTTATTTTTGCTCGGCATACCAAATCCACTTGATTTCGTCACTATTTAGGTTTGAATCTACTATACACCTATGGCCACTTAGAATCAGTATGTAGGCAATAAACTGAACTGGAATACAGCGTAAGGTCCCTGTTAGGTATTTTTAGTCAGATATTGGATAGCTACTTTATGTATTAGAAATGTTTAGTGGAGATAGGATGTCTAGTTAGACTGTTAAATGCTTAGTCATGCTTATGAGTTTCTACAGGGTACATCTGGTCAAGGATAACTAGAGAGAAGAGTTGATGACTGTCAGCAGACAGGGTGTTTAATATTATTATTATGACATGTATAACTGTAGCCATAGCCATAATATGTTCTTATGTTTAATATCACGACATGTTACTAGAGGTCGTGTGAGAATGTTTTTAGTTACACACCACTTAATCAACAGACACACACATTGATTTACTTCATGTTTTGACTACTGCTATGACCAGCTGCAAAGCTGGTAACAGAGACGTCTCGGTTGACGTTTCTGTGTAGTATGGGGCTAGCCCAACCGAAGGGATATAATGTATAGGCCTGGTGGGTTCAGGGTCTTTCATCTTACATCTGCCTGCGTGTAGTTTGGAGGTGCAAGATACCTGAGCGTGTAATGTTAATTTTACCTGTGTTCATGGAATAAATCAGCACTGTTTTGAAGTTACTTGGACTGTCTCATCTCTCATAGTCAGTATGGTAAAAAGTACCGGGTACAACAGTCCCGATCAGACAGAGTGCGTTTTAGCATCATGGGGTGTCTATTTGTAGTAGTTTCTATTGAGAGTGAAGCATTTTGCTCACTGCTTTTGTGTTGTGCCTCGCGCTTATCCGGCCTTTGCGCCGCGTGGTATTTGAAGGAGCGCCCTGAATGCCTCCAGTTGAAAATCCTTCAACTCAGAGCAGAAAAGTGCCTAATGCTATTGCCATTTTTTTCCCCATTACCCAATCAGATAACGTAAGAGGTGAACTATCAGTGATGGTGACCCAGAATATAGTATCGACCTACCCCAGACACAGGCTCAGTGGCTCAGCAGGACAGATGGACTGGTGTAGTTGGTCGTCATTTTGGTGATATGAAGCTCGATAATTGTCCCCGACTCATCCTAAAATAGCTTTGAAGTGACCTTCATCTGTGATCTTTTCTTTTTCTGAGGGTGTCCTGTATCCACACAGATCTCCCTTTCTATGTCTGTTTGAGAACAACTTCTCGCCCTCAGAGCCAGAGCACGTGCCCTCCAACTGTCCATGTTTTATGCCTAGATAAGAAGTAAAATAAGACAATTATATAGGTTTTTTTTTTGTTTAGATAAGTGATGAATGTTTATATAAATGTTTAGAGATGATAGCAGTTAGGGTAAGGATGGTGATTCTGTGGTTGCCTAGTAACAAAAATGCATAAAGCTGCTTTAAGCTTCAACAGAAACAGGCAGTGAGATGCGCCAGGTCTTTTACATGTTGCAAAATGCACTCTGTCTGATCTTGGCCAAACTCTGCCTTTATTTTTGTGAACTTTTTTTTTTCTTCAGCCATCTTATTGTTACTCCCACTCTCTGTTTTCAGGGTGTACCTCAGCTTCCTTGTGCTAAGGCACTCTACAACTACGATGGCAAGGAACCAGGAGACCTCAAGTTCAGTAAGGGTGATATTATCATCCTGCGTCGGCAAGTGGATGAGAACTGGTACCACGGGGAGATGGGGGGAGTGCATGGCTTTTTTCCCACTAACTTTGTCCAGGTCATCAAGCCCCTGCCACAGCCACCACCTCAGTGTAAGGCTCTCTATGACTTTGAGCTGAAAGACAAGGAGGCAGACAAGGACTGTCTGCCCTTCTCCAAGGTGAGACACTGCAACACACACAGTTCTGCCACGTGGTCACTGCAGTAGAGCAAAAATACCTCTCACTGCAGGGGCACTGTCTTTGAAGCATTCATTTTCTCAAGTGACTGTGTGTGTGTGTGTGTGTGTGTGTGTGTGTGTGTGTTAGAATGTGAGGGTTGTTTACTGCTACGCCCAGAGAGATGGTTTAGAGTTTGAGCAAGGCTTCTTGATGAACACCTGTAATTAAGTTGGAGAGGATGAATGCCATATAAAGCTAGGCACAGCTCAGCTACAGTAATTGAGTGTGTGAGTTGTGTGTCCAGCTGTTTGGGACATACTTTGATGTTTTTGTATTCTGTCATCACTTGTTTAAATGGCACATGAGCAAAAAACAGAAGCAAGCTTACCAAGTGGTTTTCCAAACATGCTTTAGACCTGACTGTTTTTCTTGGTCATGTTTCCTCTAATAAAATATTGTCCCGACTGTTCAGTGTTTGTTTCTTGTGGAAAAGAAACACTCTTTAGTTAGCAGCCTCTTTAATCACGCAGTGCCACTCTGTCATTTTCAGGATGATATTCTGACTGTGATCCGCAGAGTGGATGAAAACTGGGCAGAGGGAATGTTGGGAGATAAAATTGGAATTTTCCCCATCTCATATGTTGAGGTAAGAAAACTAACTAGACTCAGGTCAAATTGTCACCAATCACTGGTGGAGCAAGTGCCTCTTGAAGATCAGCAACATGCCAAGATCTTTTGAACATAGTCTTCTTTCCTGATACACCTTGAGAAATGTGTACAATACTTGTCTTAGTTACGAAAAGCTGATATGTTTCATAGAATCACAAAAAAGTCACCTTCCCTCCCTCCACAAGCTCACAGGTCTCACTTAAGGTCTTAACGAGTAATCCAAACAGAATGAAGTAAATCTGTGCCCTTTAAAGATTTGATTTTTCACTTAAAACATGTCAGTGACGGCATGTATTCTATTGATACAGTATCATAAACGCAGAAAAAAAATGTTGAAACTGGCTCAAGAATAGTGTCTCAGAATCATGTTTGTCTTGGGTAAGGTATTGGATTGAAACCTAGAAGAAATGTGTTAAGGTTACTCTGTGGGAGAACTTTATTTTCAAAGCTGTGACTTTTTTTTATTCATTTCAAATGGATACTATACTTTTGTGTTGACAGTTATGTTCACTAAGTGAGGTTTTCAGAAACAGGCTAGATGTTTTTACACTGCAGGAGCTAATGCTGCAGAATATAACATTTAGTTGTCTTCTTTCTGACTATGTAGTATGCAGTCATGTTCAGGTTTCATAAACAAAAAGCAGTGCCATTACACACACATAGAGCGGGCTAAAAGGTTCTTATGATTTTGCACAGCCAGTCAATATTTAGGTTACAGTGTTGTCATTGCCTTTGTAGATTTTGTTAACTTTTCTTGTCTCCTTGTCAATATTCTGCTCTTAAAGGTGGTCTTAAATTTAATGAGATTAGGGTTCCTCGCCTGGTATTTTGTTCGTAATCCTTCTCATCTGCCTTAATGTGCTGACATGTCAGTGATGGACCTGCACAGACTGTTTCCTGGGCTGGAGTGAAATGCTTAGTTATTATGCCCTATGTAGAGGGGGCTGCTGGAGGCTACACGTGACAGTGAGCGAGAGCACCCTGTGATTTCCCAAAACCGTTTGTGTTCCTCCTTTGATTTTTACCTTATAGTCGCACATTACGGTGCCTGAAAGGGTCACAAAGCCTGCAGTTTGAAGTCCCTCAGACTAACATGTCTGGTGTATAGACACGAGAGAGCCTTCTGCTGCACACCATGCCTGCTGACGAGATAAAGACTGAGGTCTTCCATGACAGTCAGCTTTATTATAGAGAGTGACAGTTTGCATGATCATTTTAATACTCCTATCACCCTCACTCCACTTCTAGCTGCTATTTCCTCCTTACTGCTCTGTTCAGTGCCCCCTGTCTCTCTTCCTCTCTCATAGTTCAACTCGGCAGCTCGGCAGCTTATAGAGTTGGACAAGCCATCAGACTCCAGTGGAGACTCAGGTGAGGGAGCCGCCTCGGGACCCCAGAGCAATGGTGCCCAGCGGGCAGGAGAGAAGAAAAACAGCAAGAAGCGACATTCCTTCACTTCTCTCACCATGTCCCACAAACCCATGCTAGCTCCTCCCCCCCAGCGTCACTCCATGGAAATTAGTGGGCCAGTCCTGATTAGCTCCAGCAACCCCACAGCAGCTGCCCGAATTGGAGAGATGAGTGGGGGGCTTTCCTGCAGTGCACCCTCACAGGTAAGATATGCCATAGGAAGGGAGGGGGGTGAAGGAGAGTGTCTACTGCATTGTAAGGGGTTTTACTCAATATGCTGTCTAAGAGGCAAAATAAACTGTATTCAGCCATTTCTAGGACAATGTCTTTGCCCTAAAGTTTTTTGTCTTTAGTCTTTGACCAGTATGTAGAAGGATGTGGCTCTTAAACAAGAAACTGACTAACATCAAGTTATTATAACCACTCCAATTTAGGCAGCCCTAAATAACCAGCTCCAGTTGTTGGTGGACAAACTAATACCAGTCCCATCAGTGAAGAAAATGTGTAGATGGTCATGGACCTTGCTGTACATCTCCAGTATGGCATTTTCAAACATATACTGTAGTATCTTGATGGTAGCATGGCTACAAAAAAAATAATATGGCAGTGAAAAACAAATATTTTTGACCACACAAACAGGCTGGTTATGAAACATGGTAAATTCAGTCAACTTCTCTGTAACTGTCAGTCTCCTGGTGTAACATCTCTTGTAGCGTAAAGGTACTCTCCACATTTTGTTGCTTCAGTGTTGCCTGCACCTGCAACACCTGAGATATGTTGCTGTTTTCTGTTGGATGTGTTTTTTTTCTAAGGTGCCTTTTTGTATTGGTTGCATTGAAATTAGCGTTCATATTCCAACCCTGTGAAATGGTAGCATTGCAGCGATGGGGCTTTCAGCATTTTCAGACTAAGTAGCTCCACACTAGATACCAGATATTACTCTCCTGATGCTATAAATTGTCCACCTAGGGCAGTTGTCATAAAGGAGGGCAGCTTTGCAGCACTGGAAAAAAATGATACATTTGCATGAATGCAGAGTAGAAATAAATAAGGATTAGCATTTGAACACCTTTTATTTTAGACAATTCCATCCATTAAAATATGCATGGCTCACACATCTCTATCCTTTCCCCACTGCCTATCGACTTTTTAGTGTTCACACTGTGGCATTCTTTACTTAAATGTACTGGATGAGATGCCTCCAGCTGACTCTTCAATATCTTCTTCACTGGTGTTTAATTGCATAAAGACAGTCACAGTCATGCAGCTGGAAAACAGGTTCAGCTTTAGCTCTTATTGTTTTCACACGATGCTTGTTGCTTTTCAAAGACTCCACTTTCCTTCAGTCAGCATTTAGGTTGACTTCACTTTTCCCCTTAATGCTCCATCCAACCATTTGAAACCACAGATGTGTTGTACCCGGTACTTTTTACCATACTGACTATGAGAGACGAGACAGTCCAAGTAACTTCAAAACAGTGCTGATTTATTCCATGAACACAGATAAAATTAACATTACACGCTCAGGTATCTTGCACCTCCAAACTGCTCGCAGGCAGATGTAAGATGAAAGACCCTGAACCCACCAGGCCTGTGTGTGTCTGTTGGTTAAGTGGTGTGTAGCTAAAAACATTCTCACGACCTCTAGTAACATGTCGTGGCTTAAACATAAGAACCTATTATGGCTAAGGCTACAGTTATACACGTCATAATAATAATATTAAACATCCTGTCTGCTGACAGTCATCAACTCTTCTCTCTAGTTATCCTTGACCAGATGTACCCTGTAGAAACTCATAAGCATGACTAAGCATTTAACAGTCTAACTAGACATCCTATCTCCACTAAACATTTCTAATACATAAAGTATCTATCCAATATCTATCTGACTAAAAATACTTAACAGATGCATGACTCCACTTGTCCATAAAAAACACTCCAGTTTAGCCCTCAAGGTTTCCACACCAATCCCAACATGACAGCAACAAGACATGTTTTGTGCTAGTTTATCTTTGTTTGAGATGCTCAATGACTTAATAAGAAGAAAAGAGTGTAAGCACTTGATTCAAAAAGGTTATATCATTCTATGGGGGTTTAGAACTATTAAATTAATTCATTGTATTAATAGGTAAAGGGAATCTTCTTAGGATTTCTAAATGATCTTGGTCTTATCTTATTGTTGGCTGGAGGGATCGCACAATAGCTGGCTTTCTTCTTTGTCTAAACAATATACAGGCAGCCTTTAAGGGCTGGTGGTTTGACAATATTTTGAGAGCGATTTCATTGTGTATGCACTGACATCCACATTGTTTTCAGACTTCTGGGCCTTGGGAGCTTTGCGCGAACTCAATTTTTCTGCTTTTTTGTATGCTGTTTTCTCTTGAATGTACTTTTCTGTGTTGTCTGGAGGTTTTTTTGGATGCCATGTTCCAGAACTCCTTATTAAGCTGTGTCATTAATCTTTGATCTAGAGCGTGTTTTTCTTTGTGAGAGGGAGATGAGGAGAGTGCTTGTCTACAGTGAAGTGGATCTTGAGGATTGTCTCTTTTTTCTTTTTAACTAAAACTTTTTAATGTTGATAAGATTTATATGTCAGATAGTTCTCTTCATGCAGAAGGTGTAATCATGCTTTAGGGAGTCCAGACCTGGCCTCTTTTCACTAATCATTATCAGCATAATTTTAGAACTGAAGAAACCTCTCTTCAAATTGCTGTAAACGGATCCTCCCTGGTGACAGCGCTAACTGTGCATTTGATTCACAGGTCACCGTTTAATAAAAACACAATAGAAGGTATCTGCAGGTACTGCATGGCTCTCCCTCCCCCTTCATTCTTAACCACCTTCTTTCCTTCCAAACGCAGACCAAAAGAACACAAAGGTAAAACCAGGCTGCTGAGTAAGCAGTCTTGGAAATCTACCAGTGTACTAGATAAGATGAGGATGAATTGTCAAGGAAAGAAAATGGGTTGCCTTTAATGGCATTCCTCCTAAATTCTAAAAGAAATGTATTTATTCCGATAGCATAAAGTACCTGCCCTGGACTTCATTGATATTCATTTGTTTCCAGGCAGCCATCTCACTCACAGTATCACAGTTGAACACGCTGTTGCATGTTGCTTTTCCTCTGCACACTTGGTTTACAATAGGCAGAGAAGCCGTGAAGCCTGAATGTCTGGAGCAGTCGTGCATGGAGAGAGACCACAGGCTACAGTGAGATATTGTGTGTCCAACAATATGGCCTTTTTACTACGGCACCAGAATGAGTCATGTGGATGACTGGTCGTCAGTGGTCACCTGGTTTCCATTTACCAATCAGATTGTCAGGCCACTATTGTGGTAATGGCTATGTCACCAGGATACAAAATAGGGCTGAACGATTTGAGCAAATCTAATTGCGATTCCCCCCCCAAACTTGCGATTTATTGTGCGATTTTATTAGCTGTTCGTTTTCTGTATTAAACTTCAAGCCAAAGACAAGCACTAAGTCATTATATAGTATGAGCAACATAATATTAGATTGAACATAAGACCAGGCATGTTATTTGATGAAATTAAATGATGCATGAATTTATATGAATGACATTTTTGTTTAAACACTTCAATTACACTAGAATACAGAATGATTTGTTGACTTCTTGAAAACATGCAATACATGCCAACATAAAGTGTCAAAAAGGCCTGTTGTAAACATCAAACTAAAGTGCAGGAATAGAAAAACAAATCTGGCTTTACCACACTCAGTATTCACAGGATTCTAAGTCACTGTAATAAACATATGTAAACATGCAGACTGCACTTTTTAAATGTTAAATGAACCGGTCTGCTGCATTTTAGATAAGCAACTATCATGCATGGCTTTGTGGTGTTTTTTCAAGTGCTGAATCAAGTTCGTTGTGTTACCACATGAGGTAGCAACGCTAGCAAGGCAGGTTTTGCACAATACCTGACCCCACACAGCGGAACTGCTGCTCCTCTTTGGCACTAAAGTTTCTGGTTCAGGGTCTGGTTGTGTCGAACCCGAGGCCATTTTACAGCAGGTCAAGTAACAAGTTATGCTACACCGTAGTGTGATAAGATACTGCGTCATCTGCAGATTGCGCTCGTGTGTCACGTGACCAGACTATAATTGCACCTATTGCGATTAGAAAATCGATTTAATCGCAAATGCAATTAATCGTTCCCTACTAATACAAAAGTAATTTTCACATAGCGTGACAGATGAGTAGGGGGCATTTTCAAAAAGTGTTGTGTTGTGCTTTGAATCTCTGTAGGTCATCAGACTTCCCATATGATGATACATGACTCCTTCATGTCCTTTGCTTCCTTCCTGATTTTTAATTAATGAGAATAAGACCACTTTACAGCCTTGTCTATTTTTGTCTATTATAGTTTTAATCTTCACTTAGGAGTGGAGCTTCTCTCTTACATTGAATTAGTTATTGCTTGTTTGATGGTCCACATTGTCCCTTTTGTTGACAGGTACACATTTGCACAACTGGACTAATTGTGACCCCACCCCCTAGTAGTCCTGTTACCACAGCAACGGTCTTCACATTTCCCCCAGAGACGAGCCACACGTCCATCCCTGTGGTAGGTGGACTCCTCTACAGGTGTTAACACATCTTACAACCACTAGGCCAAAGCACCACACAGACACAAAAAACCACATTTGCAGTAATCAGTTTAAAATTTATATGCTGCTTTACCTAAAATACTAAATGCATAACATAAGCAACATAAAAATATATGACATGTTACTATGGCTGAAAGTAAAGAGAAACATGCAGTTAGGTATTCACTTAATGTTTTCTCTACTACAGTTCAGACAATTTCCATAGTGTTTAGAAAGTTGACACTGTGTTTCTGTGTATGTCATTTTGTAGCATTGTTTGTATCCATTTAAGGCAGCTGATATTTTAATCCAACACTTCAGAATTAAATAAAAACATAATGTATGGCAGAAATATAAGGGTTGAATACATCTGCATAAAATATAAAATGATCTCTAACAGGCGCTTAAATCAACCAGTGTACATAGTATTGTTAATGTAAAGACTTTTACTTTCCCCTAAAGCCGAGCAGACACTTTACAAATTTTATTGATCGTATACGATGTGCTAACTCATGCTATACGTTTAAATTGGTCCAACTGCACAGCCAGAATCTGTGACTTCACAGCTCACACTGTAAGTTCACTCGGTCGTGACATGGGTGCTGGCACTGGATGTGTGAACAGAACCCTGGGTCAGGTGTGTTCATTAACAACTCTAGTAAAGGTGAGGTCAACCAGAAGAAAGAAAGTGTTCCCTTTAGCTATTTGGCTTTATACAGCTGATGAACAGCTGTAATCTGCTCTCAGCAGTTCTCCTGTTGCTGCAGACCATGGCAACGTTTTGATGACACATTGTACAGCGTAGTGCTGCCAGAGCTCGATTAGCTTCGTCCATATACGGTTTCTAAATATATATGCGGTCCATGGTCCCACTTCAGTTGATACTGTGCACAAAATGTGATATCTCGTCTGTGTCGTGTTGCTACGCTGTTGTCTTTTGTACTCGCACAACCTCACTGAAATAACTTCGAACTGTGGATCTACAACAGAGCCGACCAGATTTCTGACATGCCAGAAATCCATCTGCACAGCTGGGAGGAAGATCATTGGTTGTTTGGGCCGTAAAATGGGCGCGGGACCCTGCTAACCCTGTACACCAAAAGGACAACAGAATTTCTGCAGGCATGGCTGCTAAAAATCGGACAAATCTGTACAGTGTCTGCTCACCTTAAGAAGATGAATTTATTCAGATGAGAAGACTTGTAATCAACTGTCAACAGGCAGCATAGTTTTTTCAAACTGTCTGGATTCTGTGTTGAGTAAGAAGCTTTACGGTGTTTTCCAACAATTTGTCAACAAATTCCATGAAGAGAGTGACTTTGATCTAAAATTTTACATCTCAACATGTTTCTGACGCATTTCTGCTGAGGGGGAAAAAATCTGTGCAACTAAAAATGTCAAGAAATCCCTGCAGCCCACACAAAACAGCACGCACACTTCCTGTCTGTCAGTGTGTATGCTCTGGCATGTGGAGTTCATGTCAGTGGCCACTGTATTGTTGCTCTCTGCTTCACTTGGGAACCCTACATGATGTTTTTGTACAGATGATTTCTCTAGCCCGCAGGCAACCTAATTATCTCAGCACAAGCGTCAGCAGTGAACCAAAACGCACATCAACACTCACACATACACATAGGCCTGCACACATACCACAGGGCTGTCTGAGTGACTCTCTCCTCCCCCACTGTGTCGTGGAAGCTGTTACTCTGCTGCTCAGTGCTGGCAGTGTTGAGCATGGGAAGACTCATCTCGCTCCTAGGTGTAAGAGTTGTCTTTACCATCGTTCTAACTCCTGAGGACTCATTTGAGTTTTCAAAAAGTGTTGACACAGTAGGTTGGAGAGTTAATTTTAATGATGCAGCCTAGAAGCACACAAAGCATACAGTGAAAATCTTATGAAAGCTACTATCATTAGCCCCTAGACAAAAGTCTGAGTCTCTTTTGACATTACAGAAGTTCAACAAAGGAAAACAAGTGAGTCAAGATGAATCCACTCATGGTTGGTTTGAGGGTTGCACTGAAGTGTGTCTACAGACATGTTTTTCATTTCATATGGTCCCAATTAAATACTGCAATGGATTTAACATCCAGCTATGTGGTCTCCTAGCAACAAACTAACAAGCAGAATAGGAGACTCTCAGCTGCAGGGTAAAGTCAGGGACAAGACTATGATGTTTGCCAAAGCAGACTCTCCCATAGTGTCGGCGAACTGGAGGGACTGACCCAGATGACAGATGATCTCTCATTCTTTGTCCCTCTTTGTTGCTTATAAACAAACTGGTTTCTTGACTTACGCAACACATACTGTTTTTTTTGTTTTGTTTTGTTTTTTTAAGGCTCATGTTACGCTGTTTTTAGCCTTTCTGCTTCAGACAGAGAGGAAATGAGATGAATTGTTGTGAACTAGTAATTATATGTTGATCCTGTCTAACTTATGATTTTCTTTTCTTTTTTTACAGGATGCTCTCCCACCACCCCCACCTCCTCCCCCACAGTCCTCTCTTGGTGGAGCAGCATATGCATTGGCTGCTGGACAGAGACCCTCCCCCAGCACAAGCGACCAAAGTGGGAGACAAAGACCTACAGTGTGAGTTATAAAAACAGTTCCACACAGAAATATGCAGTATTCTTAAATGTGCAGTGAACTGTCAGATGTGGTTTTGCACACTGATGGCCTAGGGCCTTAACACACATGCTCAGTTCAGACGGGGGCGGTCCTCGTCTATGTGTGTGAGACCCCCTCGGCTGTCAGTGCAGAGCGTGAGCTTATGCACAGGTGAAGGGGTCAGAACCAGTGGGCAACTGTTTCCTGGGTCCCATTGGAGATCCTCTTTGTTACCTTTGGCTTTTGAACCCCTCACCTTTCCCCTCATTACTCTCCCAAGACACAGCACACCTGATATGAATTAGATCCACTCATGCCTGCTCTCCAGCCATCATCTGTCTTTGTGTGCATGTTGGACTCAGGCATTTATGATCCCTTCCCCTGACAGCACTGAAAGGAGACTGAAAACATCCCTCTGGGTCAGAGGGCACAGTCTCTCCTGGAGGGTCTCAGAGCAGATGATGACATATATATACAGCTAGAAAGCAGAATAAATCCAGAACAAATGGCGTGCTGTGCAAAATGTTGAACAGTTTTAAGGTTAGGTTCAGCAAATAGTGGTTAGGGTAAGTCTCCAGGAAATGAGTGTAAAGTCCCCTGAACTGATGTAAACAACGTGTAAGTGTGTGTTTGTGCTTGGTAAACACTTCCTCTTTGCTGACTCTTTTTCTGGATCTAGCTATGTGGCAATGTTCCCCTATACTCCCCGTAAGGAGGATGAGCTGGAGCTAAGGAAGGGAGAGATGTTTCTGGTGCTGGAACGCTGCCAGGATGGCTGGTTCAAAGGCACTTCTATGCACACTGGCAAGATTGGAGTCTTCCCTGGGAACTACATGAGTCCAGTCAGCAGGTCAGTCATTAAACTGTGGTGAGTAATTGATTGTTTTTGACATATTGTACACTCACACATACACACGCCTGGTTTCACATCCATTTTTCTGTAATATAAGACATAGGCTAATAATTCCATAGTAATATTTTTATAATATTATAAATTAAAATATGTGATATATTTGTAATGTTTTTATTTTATTTATTACCTCAGGTGATGAAAGGTGATGAAGCTGTTTGATCACAGACACAGTTCAGCTTTACCAGGACAGAGATCATACGATCTTGAATTTTGGAATCTTGTACAAAGCAAGAGTTTGTTAGGACCAAAAAAATCTCATGTTGATTTAAAAATGCGAATTGGATTAATTGTAAGGACTCATAAGCTGGGTTTCCCTCACCCTGTTTTATGTGTATTTTGAGGTACTGCATCAGAAAAAGGTGATGGAAATGCCAAAATTTGAAGAAAAAAAATCCTCTAATTCACCAAAAGGTTTTTACGCTGCCTTAAAGTGGTTTTTGACTTATGCAAAAAAGAGTCAGTGTGCAGAATTGGAGATGGAAACACATTTGCATAATAAGTTCTGACTTAGCGAACATTGAACTCACTTGATGGCTGTTTCTGCTGATGGAGAAATGGTTTCCCATAATGCACAAAGCAAACATGGCTGGCAGCAGGTGGAGACATTCCTCAGCCTCATCCAGGAAAAAACATAACTGTATATAACCGCTCTACGTTTACTCCATTTGCCAGTTTCTCTGTTTTGTCTCCAGTTTGTAAACTCTGCTTCTTCTACTTTTGTATTACAGCCATGTATGTTATGGTACGTTGCCTATACCGCCATCTTCCAACAAACCATTTACCGTACTTGATCTCCTTCTACCGCTTGAAGGAAATGCACCAATTTGTATTTCTTTTTCTTTCTCTTTGTGAGCTTTCAAAAGGTTCCTTCACATTTAGTTGGAAGCCAGACCACAGACTCACAGAACCAGCGAGTTTTATGATGCTTAAATGCGTCTTGACATGTACAAGTGTAATGCTCTTCTGTCACCTCAGAGAGGGCCTTAAACCTCTTTGCATTCTCTCCCCTCAGGACCATGTCTGGGAGCGCCCAGTCCAAAGTGCCCATGAGTCTTTGCACTCAGGCTGGCAGAGCGGTCACCATCGCCAGTTCCTCTTCTGCACCCCTTGGGGCCATTGTCCCGGGGCCTGACTTCAACAAACCCATCACAGTGTGCTCTAGTGCTGCACCTGCCAGCTCCCAACCTGCAGCTGTGGTAACAGCAACCCAAACAGCCACTGGCCAACAGCCAAAAGTCCCACTGCATGTGAGCTCCCAGATGACTGTGAATCAGGCTCGCAATGCAGTCAGGACAGGTACATTACCTGGGAGGAAAAGGGTTAGTGAATCTCTCCTTGTTATGTGAAAGGGGTTTTAAATGTCTCCTATTGTTTTATATCCAATCTACAGCCTCATGTCACAATCAGGACCGGCCCACAGCAGCAGTGACACCCATCCAGTCTGCAGCACCAGTGACCTATCTCCCACATCTTGCAGTGTGTCAACAGCCCTTCTCCAATTCTGCCCAAGGCTGCACCCGGGCTGGAGTGGCAATGGGCTGTGCCGCTGCCTCTCTGACCCCACCCAATGTCAGTGCTGCATCACTGGAGGGGGATGCTTTGAGACCTGTGCCTGTTGGCCCTGGGAACAGCTCTGCTCTCAATCCTATGTCCAATAGCGCAGCTCTTCCCTGCAGACTGGACAAGGATGTCAAGGTTGGATACGTCTTCCATGACCTTAAATAACGTGCTCTGTATCTAACTATCCATTGCTGTAGTCATTTTTAGGTATTGTTTGCATGTTTCATCTTGTTACAGAATCCATCTAAATTATTATGTATGGCTAGTTATTGTGTGTCTGTTGATTGTTCTGTTTTACCAGACAGTAGTCATGGTTTTTCACACTTAAAACCTGCAATTTCTTCCCATTAGTTTTGTGTGTCGGTGACAGATGGTAACAGTCCCAGGCAATAGACTACACCTGTCTGAGGTTTGTGAAAATGACTAGTGTTGCCTCTGGAGGTGCTGCAGTTCTCTAACATAAAACACTGTGCTGTCTTTGTGCTGCAGAGAGAAAAGAAAAGTCTTCTGAAGCTGTTGTCCTCCAATAAGAAGAAGTCTCGTCCTTCTCCCCCCTCCTCTCCTACCCTTGAGGCTGAACAGGCTGCTGCTGGAGAGGTGCTGCATGGCGCTGTGGGGCATGACACCTCCCCTCCTCCTGGCTCTTTCAGCTGCCTTGAGCCTGAATCTGCTGCTGCTGTTGCATCTGCCTCTTCCTCCTCCTCAGTCCCAGAGTCCTCCCATCGGAAGGGCAGTCCCCTTGATGGATGTGCTCCTATCGCTCCTCCTCCTCGCCAGCCATGCTCTTCTCTTTTATCTCAACACCATGACTCACGGCCAATCATATGTGAGAGGTACAGTGATATAAATCTACAGTTTCATGCCACTGTGATTGTTCTGATACGCTTTCCTGTGCAGAGAAGGTGTAATACTATACCACAGGAATCATGACTGATTAGTTGACATTGTTCATCAGTCAGTGACTCTTCCTTTGACTGTTGTCCCCAGGTACAGGGTGGTGGTGTCATATCCTCCCCAGAGTGAGGCTGAGCTGGAACTTAAGGAGGGCGACATTGTGTTTGTTCACAGGAAGAGGGAGGACGGCTGGTTCAAAGGCACACTGCAGAGGAACGGCAGGACCGGACTGTTCCCTGGCAGCTTTGTAGACAGCATCTAATAAACACGCTACAGTGAAGAACAGCTACCGCCACCATCATGGCCCAGCTGATTGCTGCTAGCCCCACTACAGTGTGACAAACCAATCAAATTAGCACACTTTAACTTCTTCGAGGTCACCACAAAAGAACGCTAGTGGCACATAAGACAGCGCTGCAGAGAAGACCAGTGAAGATACAGTGGGTAGAGTTGGAGGAGAGCACACTACTTAAGAACTGTTCCTTTTTGTTTATTTATCTTTGTAATAATTCAGCTGTTAAATGTGTGCCTTGTACTGTTCCTGACTGTATTGTGTATATAAGGACACAAAGATGATTAGTCCTGCAACAACCAGTATGAACTGTTGCTATAGGTATGTTACACATTTTAACTTATTCATTGATTGGCCTTTTTTATAGTGCACCACATTAAGGGGTTAAGGTGGCACATGCCTTATGTCACATTCTGCCATATCAGTGATGCTTTTCTCTATTACACTGCTGATATAAGTTTTAGCGTTAATTCAACCTGTCAGCTAATAAGAGAAGGTCTATCAGATGTGGCAGACTAGAACAAATGAGTAGTGTCCTCATCACTTGTGCTGCCTTGTAGAAAAAGGGTACTTCCCCAGCTTCAGAGGCATTGCCTCGACCTGAGAATCATAAGAGACATCTGTCGTATTGCACATTTGAGTACTTGAGCTGCAAGTCGCAGCCATGTGAACGTTGCACATCAGAAAATATTCTTCCAGGCCTTCTTCCAGGCCTCCACCTTTTCTCCTGATGTGAGTGAAGCTGAAGTGCTAAGGACTGTTACTGTACCTGCAGTAATCTAAATGTTTGCCTATGCTTAACAAAGCCTTCTGCAGGAGACAGAGCGGTGATAGATGGTCAGGCCTTTTTAATATGTGCAAAACACTCCAAGACGAGCTTCTCAGTCAAATGTTCTTACTCTGTATCTTTGGTTTGTGTACTGAAGAGTAGCTGCTCTCCTCACCCCTGGGCAATAGCCAATCCCAGACATAGCTCTACATCACAAGAGCGACAGAACATTTCAGTAACTGTGCACAACAGATTCTTTACATTATATATTTATGTTTGTTACAAATTCCACAGAGGCTGACACCTGCTGCTCATGTAGTCTGTCATTTACCTAACCTGGACACGCAGTAAGGCACGCAGGACAGTCTCCTTTCAGTAGGCTGTCAAGTTTTTATACAAATCACCTTAGAAATTAGGTGTGGCAATAAAACCACAGCTAGCTAAAGCACAGAATGTTTGTCTGAAGTGACATATCACTCCACAGGAAGAGATGTCTAGTGCAAATTCTGTTGAATCTTGAAGGTAACATTTTATTGGATCACTTTGATGCCCTTAATATGATTTTTTTTGGGGGGGATGTGGGGATATTTTGGTACATTTCATCTATACACATATCAGGTGTGTTAACTTGAATCAAATCAGCCCTTTGGAGAATGAAACCCAGTTTGTCAGCACAACACATTTTTTTTCTTACATATTTGCAGACATACTTTGGATAAGTAAATGAAATTGATCAAAGTAAAAGTATTAAGTATCATTAATGACTGACTCAAAGTCTGAGGGGTGTTTAAACACTCCAGAGTTCAGGCACTCACTGCATTTTGCCACATTTGGCTTCAAAGATGAATGTACTGACTGAATTGGACCCAGAGCCTCAAGTGCTTGTTTTTTGGTAGTTTTTGTCTTTTTTTTTTTTATATAAATTGAGGAGGATCACTGACTGCTGGATTATGTTGTACAGTAGTTTGGTTGAAATGTGGAGAGTGTGTGAAAAATAATGGTACAAATCACTGTTGGGGCTTTTTTTGTCTTTCTGTATTGGTACTAACCTGATGTTGCATCATTGTCTTTGCAGTCACACCAACCTCAGGCTCTGCTACAACCCCTCCTCTGAGTGTCTTTTCATTTCACTGTTAGGCCTTTAATGTACACAGCAGACCTGCAGTACTCCAACACGACCACGTGTATGCCCTGTCGTAACATTTCTAATTACACTGACTTGACTACATTTTTCATGAATAGGCTGCACAGTTTCAGACTCAAAACATGAAGCATTTCTTCCTAAATTTTCATTTGTCAGAACACATGGCTACTTAAGTTTGGTTCAGCTTAATAGATTTTCCTCATGCCAAGCTGACTTACTTGATTCCTTTTTTCTTTTTGTCTCTAGTTATTCTGTATGTCTGAAATTTGTGAAACTGAAATCACCTATTTGACACAAGTCCATTATGTGAAAAACATTTGAAGTATTTGAGGGAATAGCACATTTTGTAAAACTCTCTAACAATAAAAGCTTATAGTTTCCATAATTTGCTCAGGCTGTTTCATGACTATAATGTAGTCTTTCTCTTTCTCTTTCTCCAGTGACCTTGTGTTATGTTGGCCCCTTGCAGCCAGGGCTGTTGACGGGACTGACTCACCTTGCCTGTCCTTCTGTGTCACAAGCCTTGGCATTAGTAAAGGTGCACAGGTTCTGAAACACATGATGAATTACCACAGTCAAAAGGCAGTTGTTTCTAATTAAACGCATTTGGGGTAAGTTGCTGCACAAGTGGTCAGTCATTAGTGTCTTCAGGAATAAAAGGCTCTTACTAAAGAGGAGCTTCTTCAGTGGCTTGTAGCAGAGCGGAGTGTTGCAGGAGAGGTGAGCCTTCCCAGTGTGTTCAGCTGGGAAACACTGACAAGAACTGACAAGCACCCAGAGAGGTCATTGTGCTGCACTCAGCTCCCTGCAGAGGACAGGTTACCATGGAAATAAGTTCAATTGTATGTCTATACTGAGCAGTAACAACAATGACTGCATGTATTTAGCAAAGAATATATGTACATAGATTTAAATCATTCTGATGTCATCACACTTGTTTCATTTAGTCACTTGTTTTGTTTTGGTGAATGACAAAAAAAACTATATGAGACCATTGTCAGAAGTATCAGGTTTTTAAATTGTGGAGAGTGAGTGAGATGCTATGTTTAAGTATAGGAAATGCTTTATGTACAAAGTGGAGATATAATATTCACAGCTGCAGTGGCTGTGTGGAGCTCAGAAAGCAGGCTCAAGGTCAAGAACTTCGTGATAATGTTAAGCTCTAGGTGTGCCAGTCATTTCCCGACACTCAGTGAAAGGAGTGTGGGTCAAGTCTTTCTCAAATCATTTACTGCACTGAGATAACAACGTACTGGGCTTCTTTGAACAGATTTACTCAGTGGTATTTCTGAGAAATTTCATATTGAACAAGAGCACTCAGAGCACATGTACCTCCGCCAAGGAACAACATTCACTCACGCAAATGGGCCCCTTATGAAAAACAAAATGTGTCCTAAAAAACTTGACCCAAATCAGATCCAGCTCATCTTTTAGGCATTGATAGGCAGTTAGACTGCACATCTTGCCGGAACACTTCAGGGTTCCATCTTCATTACAGGACAATTTATGGCAGAAAATATGAGTTGAATGGGGTTTTTAATGTTAACTTTAAGAGGCCGTTAGATCCAGATGAAATTCGTTCTGGTGATAGACTGCCACCTTACATATGTGTGTCATATTTCAAACAGAACATGATTTTGATAGCTTTTGATAGAGATATGATTTTTAAAATTTTGCCCCATGTTAAAGATGGGAATTTGTGTGATTTTTAGTGACCTTGACCTTTGACCCTTTCAGCTATAATCTAATCACTTCAAGAGTGGGTCCCCACCAGTGTTTGCACCAGGTATGCTGATGATCCATCCAGCTGCTTGTCTGTAATCCTGCTAAGCAACACACACATGGACCCAAACGCGTGACCTCTTTGGTGGAGGTAAATTATATGTAGTAAGTAGTTCCAGGAAAACATGAAAGTTTTTGTCCTGCAGGTCTGACCCAAGTCTGAGGACTGAAATGTAAATATGTGCACAAGAAGTAGGCTGGGTCTACTGAAATATCAATAGGTAATATCTTGTATCTGGGTGTGCATGCATGTGTTTTTGTGTGAGAGAGCTCTGCTGGAATCATTAGCTCTCTAATGTGTGAAAGAGGGGAACAACGTCTTGGTGTTCGGGAAGGTGATCTGAATACAAATCAAGTCCCTTTTCTCTTTCTCTCTTTCTCTGGCAGTTAATATTAATGCACACTTTGCTAGTAATGACATTTTAAGCAAATTATATTGTTGTACAGTGCTTGTGTTGTTCTGCTGCAGTACAGCTATCCCTCATAATGCTCAGGGTTACAGGTCCACCTAGACACAAATTGTGAATGTGATATAAGCTCAGCAAATCAGTCTTGCAACATGTCTCACTCTGATGGATGTTCCAGGTGTAGGCCAAGACCACACACTCTCAACATTACTCAGTTTTCTCTGACAGTTCTGCTTTTCCCGTGAATTATATTTCCATAGGGAACAAAGATATATGAAGCAAAGAGGAGAATGGATGACTGCAATTAACAAATTTAGTCAGTGGGCAAAGTAGAGCAGCCTCATTGTGTCAGCATAAGTCTGCTCTCTTTAAATGTTAACTTAAAGTGAAGTATAATTATTCCAGTGAAGTATAAGTATACCCTTACACAAATATCCCTAAAGGTAGGTTAGCCTCTATATTATCTATATTATATTATTATATTATCCTTATAAACGTCATTAAGATAAGGATAATCACCTTTATTGGCCAAGTATGTTACACACAAGGAATTTGTTTCCGGTACAGAACCGAGTACCTTGTGCTTTCATGCTTTAAAGAGCAACCCACGTGCTGTGCGCAGACTGCGCCATCTTTCGGCTGATGGTGAGTAACGCAACAACACAATAACAAACATGGCGACGTCCATGAGCACCCACTTGTCTGACACTGAGTCTTTTTCCAGTAATTAAACTTATTTAAAGAGGAACAAGTTTCGTCTCACGGACAGTATAGTCGAAAAGAAGGTAAGTAACAGCTGGATGTATGCATTTTATCATAAAACATAGTTCGTTTGATGGAATTGTGCTATTATTACCAGGCAGCACACTGAAAAATTAGCGTCAATCTCAGCAAGAAAATGTTCTTAAAAGATAATTTTACGTAACCAGACAGACGGTACGCCCCGTTAACGACGTAAACTACTAGAACTAGTTTTACTATAACAATAGCTCCATAAATAGTTTATTAGGGTTGAAATGAAGCCTCCCATTTTCATGTTATTGTATTTCCTCTCTATATTAGTGCTATGTTTGTGGTATACCATTTATTTAGTTTGACTTTTAAATTGGTGCCAACATACAAAACCTTTGTGGTATACCATTTATTTAGTTTGACTTTTAAATTGGTGCCAACATACAAAACTTTTGTGGTATACCATTTATTTAGTTTGACTTTTAATTTGGTGCCAACATACAAAACACTTTGTACAGTGTAGTATCGTTACAAATGTACTGTAGAGTTGGGGTAGTTAACGCAGTGCTGTGGTCCCACAGGGCCATGTCTAGGCTGGCGGTGGTGTGTGGGGGCTCCAGGGGCATTGGGAAGGCCGTGTCCCGCCTGCTGGCAGAGAGGGGCTGCAGGCTGGCTGTTGTCTCCAGGAATGAAGATGCTGCCCAGGCTACAGTGGCATCGCTACATGGAGGTATAGTGTTGGATTGTGTGATTATGCACAGACACACAGATCGAGCCAAACATGTACATGCATTATTGTATGTTTCAATAGGCAAGATAAGAGACTATTGTAATAAACTGAACCAGTGGCACAGTGGTTAGCCAGAAAGTCCCCCCATGACCCTATTCAGGAATAAGCAGTATAGATGGATCCAGACGTCCAGTCATGGACAAACACTGCTGACACTGTTAGTGTTCTGTCCTGTGTCTTCATTTGATTTGAGCTGTATATTCATTTCCCTCCTGAGAAGATCCCACCACTAAGCAAATCTTAACATTTTAAATGCACTTTCTACAAAAGACAAATCTGATGCAATCTGCCATGAGTGTTTGATCTTACGCATGTCTCTGTGCTGTAAAATAAGACATGTAGACCTACAGTACCCGTGGCTCTCTTGATCAGTTGGCTTGTAACCATTAACATCATCGCATACCTTCTGTATTTGCTCTGTAGCTGACCATCTGGCTTTTAGCTGCGATGTTTCCAAAGTGCAGGAGGTGCAGCAGACCTTTGACACTATCTATAAAACATGTGGAAACGTTTCTTATCTTGTGAATGCAGCTGGTATCAACAGGTGAGCAGACACTTGTTGTATTTTTGAAATAAGGCCTGTACATATACATGTATATATTTAAATGGGTAAAAAAGTTGTCATATTACACTGAATGTCAAAGTTGACCTGTCTGCTTGTTCAGGGATGCTCTGTTACTGAGGACCAAGCCAGAGGACATGGTGGCTCTGCTTCACACCAACCTGCTGGGCACCATACTGACCTGCAGGGCAGCACTGCGCAGCATGCTGCACAGTCAGGGAGCAGCCATTGTCAATATAGGTACTAACTGTTTCAGCGGAATCCAAGATTAGTCTTCAGTCTTCTGCTTTCAGTTTGATCACCAGGCGGCAAACATTGCTACCTTCTTTAGATTAACTTCATTTTAGAAGCGTCACTTTAAAGGATCATGCTGGTGTTTTTACCAAGTTTAGCCAGTTTATAACAAATCATTTCCAACCAGTCTTTTTGAAGATTTTTGTCAAATCAGTGACTTCTGTAATACCCAAGATGGAGTTGGTTGCTGAACAGCAAAGGATCATGTGACTGTTCCTTCCTACATGATAGGTACAGATATGCATTTCTCTATCTCAAGAAAGTTTAAAGGTGCATTTACTACTTTATTTTCAGCTGCTAGAGGGTCTAATGAGACTCAAAACAAGCTTGCTGTCTTGTTTCTTAGCAGCAACATAAATTATAGATGCCTGTTGGGACAAACTGTACAAAACGCAGCCTCCAGTTTGAAGCTACTGTTAGCTAAGAGTCCCGGCTCTACAGCAGCATCGCAGCGGCATGATGTCAAGTGACGAGGTTGACGAGATGGCCCCAAACAGCTCTAACAAAGCACCAACATTACACAATGCTTGAATTTAATCTTATTAATTCAACACAAAGATAAAATCACAACCATATTACCAAAATAAACACCTTATATCTGAATCAAATCTGAGTCCCTTGGTTGTTTTTGAACACTCTTCATCTTAAAAAGCCAACCTGATGTTAACTCTGGTTTTTGTCCCACTCTCTCTGTGCAAAAGAACATGACCTCTGCAGTCTGGCAGCCAATCTTACAGACCTTTAGCTGCCAAGAGTTCCTCCATGCCTGGCTGTTTGAAATAACTACTTGCGGTTCAAACAATGCTTCTTTTAACCTTTGCTAGTTGGCGGGTGGGGCTAATTGGACGACCACCTAAACAGAGACTAGAGAAGCAGGAATAACAACAGAAGAGCAACGTGTCACAGAGGGAGCTAGTATAGCACAGAGACACTGTGTCCTGTCCCATTTTAACTGCATTTTAAATCAATGTACACAATCTCAGTTAATGCACCTTTAAAGTCTAAACTGAAAGCAGTGGTTGTAGGTAGGTAGTAAACCTGTTGGTGCTGATTTGGACTAATGTAATTTATTTGAGATTTGTATTAAAAAGGCTAAAACACTCCATTGGTAAGTTAAATGTAAACCTTTCTGTTGTACACACAAAGTCTCTGGATGTACGTTTCCTGTTTGTAGGCTCTGTTGTGGGCCTGAAAGGCAATGCTGGACAGTGTGTGTACAGTGCCAGTAAAGCTGGTCTTGAGGGCTTCACACGCTCTTTGGCTAAAGAAGTTGCTTCACGAAATATCAGGGTCAACCTACTGGCTCCAGGTACAGCATAACTCCACCTTTTTGTCATGTCAGCACCTATTCTGGCTTCCTGTTTCTGTAATCTTATGTCTTTTTTTATAGTCTTTGTCATGTCTCTGCCCTCAGGTTTCATCCACACAAACATGACTGCAGAACTGATGGAGGAAGACGGGGTGCGGTCTGTTCCACTGGGGAGATTTGGCGAGCCAGAGGAGGTAGCCCAGGCAGTCCTCTTCCTTCTGGAGTCGTCTTATGTTACGGGACAGGTGCTGGTGGTGGACGGAGGGCTGCAGCTGGCCATGTAGTGAATGGGACCTTCCTCTGGATTCACCACTCACAAGATGAAGCGACTGTGGGTTCTGTGTTACTCATGACTGAGGTGCATCTCACTGATAAAAGGTGAACGTCTGCACTTAACAAGGCTTCATGGCTGAGTTGAGTGTTGCTTTGTGGCCACATTAAATTCAAATACTTATCTTATAAGCTGTAGGAGTGTGAGATTGTGTGATTTTTTTTTTTTTTTTTTTTTTAATTGACAGTGTTTTTGACTGCTGTAAGAGTATCCAAAATGTATGCACAAGTCACAAACAGGCAGTCACCTGCAGGTGTCAGTGGATCACTGTCCTACTGCTCCCTGTCTTTCTGCTGAGTCACTCTGTCCAGCTACAGTGGTCGGGGCCTGATGTGTCATGACTAATGCTGCTGACTCCAGAGTGTCTGGCAGAATCCAGACCTCAGTACCCTGAGCTCTTAAATTTGATCAGTAGATTTACTGCTTTTGGTCTTTTTCCATGACTGTACAGTGCCCTAGTGCTGATCTTAGCCTTTGTGTTTTGTTCTCCCACCTCCCCGGAGAGACCCCCCTCACGGTCGGCACATGCTGCCCCATGTACCAGCGGCCCGCTGAGCTCACCTCTGGAGGGGCCTGTTGAGGGGCCAGGCATGTTGGGCTGCAGCTGGAGGAAATTAGAGATAGCAGTAGAGGTGGGGGAATATTTTAAGCTCTGGGAATGTTTTGAGTGTCTGCTTACAGCTCTGGCCCTGTAGTCCTCAGTGATGAGATCTGAATTGCTGCCTTATATCGAAACCTGATTTTAAATGAGTAACTTCAGTTGTGCTCTCTGTATATGTTCTATGTGCACTTGTATCCTCAACCTTTTATTCTCTGTTTAAAGATTAGATGACATGAGACCCTGGTATTTCCACTGTGATTGATGATGTGTTTTTTGGCATTCTCTTATTGTTTTAGAAAGAACCTGCCCATCTATAAAAACATCTTGCACTGTCTGAAGAGTTGGATTTTTTATTTATTAACTTTCATAACCTAAAATAATATCAGGAAAACAATCCATATACAAGCAATTGTTGGCATAGAAATGTGCAAACACAGTAATTGACAGCTGATGTAAAGCTCCAAACAGGCCCAGAAAAACTTTGTATAGTATTACACAGGTGACAAAATAGTGGGGAAAAAGTTTTGATATATTCTGGTACACGTTGTTTGGCACTGTACAAGTGTCCAAAAAATGACATGCAAAGAAACTGTGTTTGCATTACACCTAAAAATGATTGAAGGCAGTAAATATAATTATAAAACTTCAAGACAGAGAAAGGATTGTTTTATCAGTGAAAACAGGTTGCTGATATCATTTGTGTCAAGATTGCTGGGAAAGTAAAGAGTCTTTTTTTTGTTCATACAAAAATAAAATGGAGATTCTGTGATGTTTGACAAATGCACTGAAACCTGTCACAGCACCCGCTCAAGTGAGAACACTTTAAGTCACACCTCTAAAATAAACCATCAGAAAAAGAAAAAAAAATCACCAAATGACCCACCATCACCCAAAGCTTTCCTTTTATCAGTATCACGAGTGTCACTTTTATCCACACACCACTTGCTGTCCATCACAAAACCTGCTTTTCCTGTCGTGTCTTGTTAGATCTGACCTTCTATAAGCTCTGCTGCCCCCACAACTCTCCTCTATATGTGAGCCTTCTTTCTCCCAACCCTCATTTTACTTACTAAAAATAAAGCCACTAAACATTCTGTTTGTAAGGCCCAGCCTTGTCCAGTATGTGTAAGCTAATGACTTAAATCACCTGACAACACTGAAGCTGTGTCACTCTGACTGCTGTGAGTTACTGTAGCTATCAGCACTGTGCTACACAAGCCCACGTAAGTCTGCGCTCTCCTTCGTCAAAGCTGTGATGCTTTGAATCATTCAGTTGCTTTTCTTCTCCACTACATGTAGTTGGTGCAGTGCTGGTTATATATACAGTATTAGTTTGTGTACTGCAAATGGCACCACTTAAATATGCATAGTAATTCTGTTTCATTTCATTTTAAACTGTTGATTTCTATAGAAATGAGAGGCACTTTAACAGTAACCTTCTTGTAAAGCAGTTACCCATCCAGTTCATGAAACATGAGAGCACATTTATGAACAGTCTTTTCATGTGTTAAACTCATTTTCCAGGTCCAGTTGATAAAAAGAAGCTTGGGGTACCAATCTGATGAATTCTGTAATGTAATTTGTCATACTATAAAAAGAAAGAAGGAACCACGGCTGCACCATTTCATTCTGCCCACCGACCCTTTAGTTCTGTATGCAGTTCGGTGATGGTGGACGAGGTTATATTCTGCCCCTACTTGTAGCCATTAAGCATTTGTCTCAGGAGAGTTGTGGGCAAGGGCAGCCTTTAGGGTTTTGTGAGGTGATGTCACCTCCCTGTGACGTCTACAGGTCATCACTTTCCACCAGACCACCTGGCTGCAGCGGGCTGGAGTCAGGAAAGAAGGCTGCCTTTACGTCCAGCCCTCTCTCTGTCAGTGCGGCATAGCGGCTGGTGTAGGGACGCACCTTCTTGGGCCTGGGGAGGCTAGGCTGCTGCCACTGAGCTGAGGACAGAGCAGAGATAGGTTAAATGTGTAGAATGGAAGTAAAGCCAGACAAGAAGTGGTTAATTTCATGAGCAGTGTGTGTGTGAGTTAAACTTACTGTGGACATCGAGGCGTGCAGTGCTGGATATGATGCCAGCCTCGTTCTTGGCTGACACAGTGTACCAGCCAGCATCCTCTTTCATGGCTGGTTGGATGATCATACACAAGTAACCACAGTTGTCCTGGTGCATGCTGGGAAAGAAAATTGACACAAATGAAAGGACTGTTTGAATATTCTGAAGATGTGGTACACTGGTAAGCATCAAAAACATTAAAAGTACTATTTGTCTGGTAGTTTATTATTTTATTGACCTGATTCTGTCTGTGTTGTGAGTGAGAGACTCGTTCTCCTTTTTCCAGAAGATTTGTGGATAAGGAACCCCCGTGACACGACACTCCAGTCGCACAGGATGACCCTCTGCCACACTGGTGTTCTGTAGCTTCTCGATGAATGAAGGGACCTTGTGCATCTCTTTGGCTGTGGGAAGAGTGTGTTAATGAGGTGCACTGTGGGTACCAAACGCATATCTTCTGGACCTACAGAAAGTACTGTAGTTTACAGCCTAGACTGTAAGAATGTGGATAGTTACACATATCCAAAAGTGACATAGGTGGCTACTGAGGTTATTCAAGACATTTCACCTTTCATCAGACTGAGAAGCTGTTGTTCTGACTGACTGCTGGGGAGTCCCAGGTATTTAACCCAGGCCAATCAACCTAAGCTGCATGTCTTTGGACTGTGGGAGGAAGCTGGAGCACCCGGAGAGAACCCACACAGGCACAGGGAGAACATGCAAACTCCGCACAGAAAAGCCCTGAATCGGCTGGGGCTCGAACCCAGAACTGGGTTCTTGTTGTGAGGTGACAGCCCACAAAAACGTGTGTAACTGTCCAAATATGTATATATTGTCAGGACTGCATGTTTCTGTTACCTGCAACAATGAGTTCCAGGTTAAAGGAGTTCTGCCCAGCTCTGTTGCTGGCGATGCAGGTGTAGATGCCCGCGTCACGACTTGTCACAGGCTCGATGACCAGTGAGTGCACACCATTTTCCCTCACCAGCATCTTATGGGCAGAGTCGGGGCGGATTGTTTGTCCATTCAGCTGCCAGATGAGGTCAGGAGTGGGCAAGCCACTCACCTGCACGTTGTAAAAGAACACAGCAAACATTAGAATTCACTGAATGTGTGGATGCTTGTTCAGACTGTACTGAACAAGACTATGCCTTGAGTTTGTCAGGGCTTGTTGTTTTGAGTATATCAGCTGCATGTGGGGCCAGTATGTGTTTACTGAAGTATAAAAACAGTACTTGGTTAATCTGTCTGTCTTGTGTTTGTCTGGTTGCCTGCACGCTTTGTCATGGGAATAAGCTGTGCTGCCAAATCACCCATCTCTTTTTTGCAGAAACCCGACACCTGCTCCACCCTGCCCACCTGGAAAAAGCTCTACTGTGGATATGCAAACCCTGAGTATTACAATGTGCAAATGAACAACAGTGCTCACAGATATCACAAAAGGGGGTACACAAAGCAGCGATAAGTATTTCTGAATATGACCCAATTGTCTAGGAGTTAGGTCATTGGAGCATGGAAAGTTTAGAAAGCCAGAAATGATCTGGAAATTAATATTTGTTATAAATATCCCTGACATTAAGGGCTCAGAAGGAATGGAAACTTGGTTTATTTCTGACATGCATGAAAAGACAGTCTTTTTATAGTGCGTTATTTGTGGGTTCATGTTATTTTATTACATATACCAGTTTTCAAAGACTTTGAGTGCTGCAGTGAGGTGAGGTGAAGATGGAGTGAATGGAGAGGGAGAATAAGCCCAAGTGGCGTAGCAGTGGTGTAGAGGGAAAATACGTGTAGAAAACCTGATCTCAGTTAATCCCTGAAAATTGACACCTCTGTATTCTCCTTGTCTGCTGTGAATGATTCATCATGTGATGAATCAACAAAGCATTTTGTCTCCACTAGTTTTTATATTCGCTGTAGAAAGTGGAACGCACAGAAATTCTTTGGCAGCACCAAGATGGAGCCTCCCAGAAAGCAATACAGACGCTGAATTAAAGGGCAGACCTGAAATGGCTTACTCTACTGTATTACTATGATTAACATGTTCTCTTTGGTGTGGGCATTTTCTCTTCCAGTCATGTCTCAGTTATTTTAAATCATCTTTCTTTGTTGCCTTTATCAAAGAAAACTGTGTGGTGTTCACCTACAGGATACACCACAGGTTTAATTACAGCAGGAGAATGGTTGGCAGCTAAACTGTTAGACTGAGTTTACTATAAGTAACCAGCCAGAGGGTTCAAGTAAAAATCGCAGATAATTTGTGCACAATAAAAGGCCCTGAACGTGCAGTCAAGCATAAAAAGGTTGTTGTGTTCAAGTTTATAGATGGATAGTGTATAATTTATCTTTTCTCCTTTTAAGTTTAAAAAATGTCCTCAAAACAAACCAGCTGACCAAAAACACATTTTATATTTTCAGAAGTCCTTTTTCTTTTGTTAGTGATCAACAAATCATCCTACAAATGAACAGCAACTGTTTTATGGAGGTATTGTTTGGGCACAGCCACCACAGGACAACACTGTGTCCTTCCCCCTTTTATCACATGTTGGCACAGGTAGTGCTCCCAGGAGGTGCAGAGGTGCGTTCTCACCTTGCAGTCCATCCGGCACAGTCGTCCCTCCTGAACGATGAGGTCACCGGGCGCCTGCAGGAAGTGTGGGCGGAAGTGACGCTCTTGGATGTTATCATTCTCATCACCGCTATCTCTAGATCTGGACCTGGGCCTGATATGGAGAGGAAAACAATCAGTATTTTGGATGAAAAATCAACTTTTAAAAGCATTTTTACAACTTTGAGTTAATTTGTATTTAAAGAAAATGTGGTATTTTAACACAAATCCTTTCTGTTTTAAGTTGTTGCATCTAAAACTCCCTTTGAATTTTAATCATTTTTAGGAAAACACATATTTTCTGAGTGATAACGTGTAATTTTATAACACAAGGCATGTTTAGGAACAGTGCAGTACAGTACTTTGGTATAAACAAAGCCTCTCCAACCCTCTGCCCATCTTCATGATTGTGCTTTATATTCCCCCATCACAGATATAAAATGAACTTTGGGGGCCGTTTTAACCCCTATTTCCTACTGAAATACGAGTGTCTCCTTTGATTACGTACAGCAGATCAGGAACCATAGGTGTTCTTGTGATTTTGTCCTATAACAACAATGACACCACCGTCCTGCCTGCATGTCAACCAGGGAGGGAAATAAAGAGAATGGGAGACACTGACTGTCACCTTGATCAGTGATGCTGCAGCTGTGATCCTATGAGCACTGTGTGCACATTTTTTTGTAAACATTTTGCTCTTACACTATTGCTTCTGGTGGACATTGTACGATCAACATATAGCATATATAGAGAAATAGAGTTTCACATTTATGGCCCGAGGAGCTATCTAATATATTGGATCGCACACCCCTAGAGTGAATCACATCATTTCTACTCCTAATGTGAGCAGCTTGGAGTGAGTGACAGCAGCCACACACTGACTGTACCTGCTGTCAATAATGTCTGTACCATCATCAGGACATGTGCAGGATTTATTTTTTTATTTTGCATTCATGTGTTATTTTGTGGACTAATTATTTAAGTGATTCTGAAGGACCGGCTAGAGCACACCTCCTAAGAGCAACGCTGGTCATTGGACTGAATGGAGGTGCTGCTTAAAGACAACGTGCACGCTGCTGCACTCACTCCAAGCTGTGCAGGGCTCACATTATTACTAGAAAACACAGTGTGTTGTTATAATGACAAAATAGCCTACAGTAGGTCAAAATTACAAGAAAAATATATTTTAACATAAAAGTGTCTTGTAAAAACAAACAAAGTATCCTGTTATAATGAAAAAGGTTTCTCATTAAAACAAGATTTACGCTGCATAGGTAGTTCATGTGTGTACTATGAAATATAATCCTGCAGGTGCCACTGACTTTGATTTCACTCAAAACATCTCTTAGCCCCTATCTGAAGGGAAGTGGTCATAGAGGACAAATTACAGGTGTTCTCTTATGTTCTGTGAAGGGAACCTAGGCCCTTCTATGCATTCTTCAATAATCTGGGTTTAGATGACTGCATACTGTATATACAAGGTCAATGGATCAATGAAAAACAGAGCAGAACAAACAGGTGTTCCCTCAAGAACAAGGTGTGATTCAGCTTGCAGTAAACATTTGTCTAAATAGCAGCTTTTTGGAACATTTTACACCAGAATAGGTCACTTTGGAATGAGTGTGAGCAAGTGCAGGAGCCGTGCAGACAGTGAGCAGTCAGCAGCACATGGGCCAGCCAGCAGGTAGAACTTCAGAATAAAAGACCAAGAAGTTTTGTTTCCTGCCCTCTACTGTCAGACAGTAAAGCCTCACCTGCGCATGTGTCCAGGTGTGGGGCGTTGGCTACGGCCTCGCTGGGTCACCGCCTGGACCATCATCCTGCCAGTGCAGCTCGCCCGACCCTGTGAGGGGGAGACACACAGAGAGAGGGAGCTTGTAAGGTGCTGACACGCCACGACGCCACAAGCAGCAGTCAGACTAGGAGGAGGAAATATAAAGTCAGTGTTTGCAGCTCATCAACCTTTGACCCTCATGAGGCCTTCAGTGATTTCCTGTCTCTTTCAACACCCTCTTCCTCTTCAGGCAGCAGACTGTTATCTTAATGTGCATTATTTTCTCGCTAATGAGCACTACCATGCCCTACAGGCAGCCGAACGGCTGTGTGTGTGCACTGTATTGTTTCCACACCTTTCTCTGATATTGCATGTTGTCTCTTTGGGGCTTTATCAGAGCTCTGTGTCAGCCTGCTCACCTCAGGGTTGCCTGCCATGATGGTATAGTTGCCATCATCATCCAGTGAGGCAGCAGCAGTGTGCAGGGAGCAGGTTCCATCAGCGTCACGGCTAATCCTGTAATGCTCGCTCCTCTTGGAGATCTGCTTACCATCTTTAAACCAGTAGACCTGCAGCACAGGAGAAGAAAGAACAGACTAAAACAATCAAACAACTTGATGCTGACACTGGTATATTGGTGACAAAAGGCAAAACTATGGCTGGAGCAGAAGACATTTAACAAAAAGTACATCTTCCTACTATTTTTCTATTTCATCGTTTCTCCTGAGGCCTGTCATCACCACACCATTAGAGCGGACAGAGCCAGGCAGCCAGCCAGTGGGTGTTCTTGCAGTGGGCCTCCCCTTATCACAACATTGTGATATCTACACCCTCCATCATCACCATCACACATAATAAATACCTCAAAATGACATGATATTTATCTAACAACAATAGTCTGGCCCACTAAGTTTAATCTTTCAGGGTGTTGACATTCTTTCAGTGACATGTAAAAGCTCCCACCTTTGGTTTAGGGTCTCCATTGACCTTGCAAGAGAAGGTGACTGGCATGCCCTCAAAGACTTTGTAGTGTTTGAGCTTTTGGTCAAAGGATGGTGCCACTCCCTGGCCATCAGAATCTTCATTGTGCTGCACATCATCGTCTGACTCCTCCACCGGAGAACGCTCCAGACGAAATTCAATCTCACTGATCAGGCGCTGCTCAAAGCTGGACACTTTGTATTCCTACATGCCAGAGACAGACAGAACAAAAAAGGAAAATATTAGTGGAAAAGACTGAGACAGAAATGAGACTAGGTTTGTGTGGTCATGTGGCAAAGAACATGCAAAAGCAAAGAGCCATCAACCAAACCCTCCTTGCCCCACTGCAAAATGTTTACACATTCAATAAGCTAGCTTCATTGTCACCCAAACTACCAGCTTTCTCCCAGTTTCCCAATTATCTATGCCCAGATGAACCACTCCTCCTCTTCCCATCAACTCTATCAATCGCTTGGCACTGCTGAGGCAGAGGGAACATCTGCATGGTCTGATGACACATCACACAGATAATGACAGGTTTCAGGCACAGCTGCAGAGGCAGCATTCATCATCCTGACCTGACCCTCCCACTCCTGATTTTCTGAGGTAATATCCTGCAGTAGCAGCTGCTGCAGCATGTCCTGGCTAAAATATTGCAAAGCTATAAATTAATTGCTAATTTAATCTCAAATTCAATGCAGGATTACAGTAGAGCTCGATGATGCCAACATATTCAGGAGACAATCTGGGTAAAAGCAGACCAACCAAACATACTGATATATATACTTCACTTTTAGAAAACTCAGATTGTACAACAAGCAGCCAATGTTGCAAAGACCAAGCTTTAGCCATGCTAAATCAGTGGCTCATTATCTGTATAATCACATAACACACAACAAATGCATTTGGTTTGTTTGATTGTTAGTTTGTTTTACTTCATTCTGCTGTTTAACAGAAACACCTGCCTCTGAATGGACTTGTACAGTGAATATGGAACCACAGTAACCAAAACCAAACTTCATATTGCTGCCTTCTGTGTGCTATTCTTTGCCTTATCAGCTGATTCCTAGACCTGATCCTGTTCTGCTCAGAATGAACACATCCAAGATTAAAGTGTGCATTTGTGTACACAGCTACACACAGTGAGTGTGCATTTAGCACTGAGTGGATTAAAGAAAGAAACAAAGGTTTCAATAACCTTTTGAGGGAGTGACTCTCTATCAGATGAACTGTCTTCCTGTTGAGAGAGAAAAAGTTCTTTTTTCTGTGGGTGAAACACAGTTTTAAGTCTTTCAGTGTGTGTACCGTACATGTTCAGTCTTACCTGCTCCTAAAACAGAACATTTTTGAGCACATGCTACAAATGAATATCAAACAAAACACATCTAGCCTTTTGACTGATGCGTTCCCAGCCAAATTCCCAAGCTTGCGCTCTGAGCCATCCAGCGCTGCAGTGCCACAACCAGTCACTTGTCAATCCAAAATCACACTGGGGTGGCACAGTAGTAATCTGATTTCCCCAGTCGGGGTGGACAAAGTGTGGAAAAACTGGTAATGTTCACTATACCTGCACCGTGTCTTGGTTTAAATAATTAGAGGGTGCTTTCTGTCAAAGGAGGACACTGTGTTATACACAGCCTCTTTTCACTGTTACACTTCAGTGCACACTATATACAGGGTGGGTGAAAAGAAACTAGGCACTAAAAATTGGCTATTGAACCTGTAGTATCACTGGAGTCACGATGAAAGCAGTCTCTAAATACACGATAGTAAACAGGATTTCATATGAATCAAATTCAATGATTGATGATGAATCAATGAATCAAATTCAATCATTCAAATATCAATCAAATTCATATGAAATCTATCTATTTAGATGGTTTTCATCATGACTCCAGTGATACTACAGGTTCAATAGCCAATTTTTAATGCCTAGTTACTTTTCACCCACCCTGTATATACAGAGATGTGACATTTACATTATTACAAACTTTGACTAATACAGCTCGAAACAACTTCAAATTCAATCAAACTAAAACTTTTAAATTAAGATTCAATCTTTAGTAGTGTTACCGATTGTCTGATCACAAAAGTGTCATTATAAATGTGACGTCAGCAAAAAGTACAGTACTTTAAATGTCGGTTTGTGAATAAACAACCAGCACGTCCACTTTTTTTTTTTTTTGGCAGTTCACCATCAGATAAATGCCTCAGTGACAAGTCTGCAGCACCATTTCTTTCTACCAGTCTGCATAAACAGAGCTTTTTATGGAGGGCTCTGGAGGATTTTACATTGTTTACACCCTGCACCCCTGCAGCAGTGTTTACAGGGACTGAGGGTGGGGGTGCACTCTGATTCAACTGAATATAGAGGAAAGCCAGTGGTCATGAGGCAGGAATGACAGCAGCAATGTATCAGCAGCCAAAACAGAAAGGTGCCTGTGTGGTACATGTGCATCGCTGGGATTAAGAGAACACTGCTGGTGTAGACGTGTTGATCATACATTGTCATGTCTGTATGATTTGAGGTGACTGTGTCTGTGTGTGTGTGTGACTTTTCACCCAAGGTGTGTGAATCCTACTACAGAGCCATCGTACCTGTGTGACTGGCTCCTCCTCTGTGTCCTGTGTGTTTAAGACTGTTGCAGCATTGTCAGCACCCAGCAGTCTGCGAGCCATCTTCTCCTCATAGGTTAACCTCTGGAAGCAAGGATTAATGCGGTCAGCGCAAGTTAGTGGGTCAGTTGCAAAACACACACTTTTGCACACCAGTTCGCTACTGTATTTAAGCCTTGTGTTAATTAGGGATATCATCATGTCCGCACAAAACATTTTGAATTGATTCAAGCTTGTTTAAATACACTTTCAGGGAGAGGAAAGCTCTTTCCTCTCATGAATAGCTGAATAACGTTTGTTAATATGTGTTAATGATGTTACTGAACATGTTCATTCTCTAATCACCTGTAAAGACACACTTTAAGTAATTTAATAAGGCTAGAACACACAGCGCACAAACACCCACCCACACACACACACACACACACACACACACACCTGTTGACCATTGCTAATACGCTCTTCTTTAAAGCGCAGTTTTCTCTCCAAATCCTGGATGACAGCGTCCTTGGTTCCCTGGATTTCCGAGTCAGAGGCGATGCGTGGTGTCTTGGTGACTGAAGACTTCCTGGGGAACACTTTGCTGAAAGAAGGACAAAACAAACATTTGTCAACATCAGGGTCGTGGCACTGTGCTCTGTGAGGCACACACATTACTCCTCATTGCTCTCTAGCTCCTCAGCTCCCTCGTTCATATCCACCCTTATCTGGACATGTCCAGCTCTAGCATTCCACAGCGTGTCTTCTTATCTCGCACACATGCAGCGGGAATGCCAGGATGAGGGGGAGTGCCAGAGAAAGTGAGGGACTGATGAAAAATAACTGGCAAGAGCTGAAGGTGGAATGTCCTTTCTGGAGGAAAAAAATCTTTGTCGCTCACTGCCATCACAGGAGGATTATCTACACATCAGCTAACTCGACATGCAGAGCCCAGAATCAGAAGCCAATGACTATGCTGTTTATATCGGCTGGACACAGGAGTCTGAAGTGGCAAACCTTGACAGCCAGCTACCTACAGTCAAACATACGTATATGTCCACTATGACACTGGAATGTGAGTGTTTATTTGAATTTGACTCACCTTTCACTCTGAGATTCGTGTGTATATTTTCTTGCATTATTAGGGTTCAATCTCTTGCACCTTGAGAAAAGGTTTGTGTGTGTTTAAAAGGTTCCGTTAGCATTTATGTGTAAAGATACTGTATAAAAATGTAAATGTCATCTTCAGTTTGTTTGAGAGGGAGCACCAGTCGCCTCGCACATTGTTCAAGGTGCATACACAGTGTTACACAACTTTACAGAATCTAGAACAAATGCTCTCTCTTTAAAAATATTTGTGATGGGTACTCACACTGTCCCGTTGCCTTTAGGAAGGCCCAGGGAATTGACTGTAGGGCTGCTGGGGGTGGCAGGTGAGGAGGGCAGCACTGAAGACAGGAAACTGGAAGCAGGAGATGGAGGAATGGAGGAGAATGGCGAGGACATGTCTGAGTGGACTGGAGACATGGAGACCGGTGGAGGAGGAGGTGGAGGGGGAGGAGGGAAGTCTTGGGCGGGGCCTGATGGAGAGGACAGGTTACTGGAGCTGAGGAAGGGCGGAGGTGGAGGAGGGAAAGATGGAGAGCTCGGAGACTCCACGCTGCTGGCCTTGGTGAAGGGGGGCACAGTGACCCTGCTGAAGGGCTTGTGTGAAGTGGGAGGAGACAGAGGGGAGGGCAGGCTGGACCCCGAGGAGCCGGAGGACTGGGTGATGTAGCCCGCCCCACCAGGGCTCTGAGCAGCAATGAACTGTTTGGGCCGGGCGTAATTGAAGGTGCTGGCGTGCATGGCTACGCTGCTCTCCAACTCCTGGAAGGAGGGAGGAGGGGGAAGAGGTGGAGATGGTGGAGCAGGTGGAGGTGCTTCCTGAGGTGGTTGCTGGGGTGGAGGTGGGACTTCCTGGCCTTGCTGCTCCTGCTGCTGCTGCTGCCAAGAGGCTGCTTCCTGCTGCTCCAACAGAATCTGGTCCTGCAGCTGCTTCAGCTGGGACGCGTTCCTGCGAAAAAGAATTATTGGTCATCAGTGACATTGATCAGAAACTAAAGGCACTGTATTGTTTTTATTAATCCTTTCTAGGGAAGGGGTCTCTATCACAAGTTAAAAGACTTTTTAAAAAGTTACAAAGGCACGCAGCTGTTTTCGGCTTACATGTGAAACCATCGCATGGTCTCTATCCAACTGTAGTCACAACACAACTAGCAGAAATGTTGCCAGATGTGCCAGATGTGAGCACAAGAAGAATTAAAATATCAATCAAAGTGTCAAGAGAGCTGAGTGAGGCAGAACCACAGCCAGTGTAAAGCTGTTCATTATTAAAGACAAAGCATTTTGAGCATGACATCAGTTCACGGCCATCAGTCCAGTGGTTCTCAACAGGAGGGGAACTGGCTAAACTTTTTTTCTCTTGTAAACTGTAGAATGTCAAGCCTGAGGTTCAGTAGGAGTGGTGGTATGTGCACAACTTAATGTGTTAGTCTGTGTCCTGGGAAGGAAACTGCTGCTCCAGCAGCGCAGACTGATAGGTTATCAGCCTCCAGCTTTTAACAAAGACCTTTTAAAATGCCAGCCTGTTGACAATGCATCAAGTATGCTAAAGGAACCAGGAGATAAGTGCAACTGTGAGGAAAACAGCTCTGTTGCTGCTGTTTAATGGTGCAGCAATTGACCCTGATGGACAGTAAACTAGTCCAGTGTAGAGGCAGAGCTCAAATGTGATGTTTTCTATCTGTGAATTCAAAAACCACAGGGTTGAAGTGTGGCTCCTGGTATTTGAATGGTGGTATGGTGAAAGCAAAATGTAATGTTGTGGTGTCTTTTTTTTTTTGCCAGGGATGAGTCTTGTTGTTGAAGTGTGGTTGTCCAGTCACTCCCGCATCTCTACTGATTCACTGTGCTGTCACGTCATCGTAGGAGAGGAAGAGCTTAGAAACGGTGCTGTCTCATCAGCTCCAAATCACAAGTTTCTCTTTTCTCATAGCACTGTTGAAAAAAATGTTACACGCACCAGGAGCGTTTTAAAGAGGACTGTGTTTGAAAACAACAGGACAGAAGTGAACTCTCAGAAGCTCTCCTTGAGGATCAGGAGGAGGACATGAGTCTTTGAGAAAGGCTGAAGTCATAAACCTTCAGAGTCCACAGCTATGTGAGACAGATGAGTTCTTCATAGGCAGCCTGTTCAGAATATACTGTATGTCCCCAGTGGTGCGTGTTGTCAGGAGTCCACTAAGTTCACTTGCCCCAATCTTTTCCAGATGTTGAATAATCAGTGGAGTCTTATGACTATTTCTCTTTTGAGACAATGCAGAGAAACCCTCTCTCATTACCCGCCCCCACACACATTCACAAACAACACCAGTGAATATTTAACAAAACTTCACAACTAAATAAAAATAGTCATTAATTCAGAAACATCCATCACAGCCATTGTAGCTTGTTGCAACCTGGAGCTCTCCTTACAGGATTCACTGACCACAAGAGCACATGATCAATTCAGTGTGCCCCCCTCCACCCCTTTGTCTACATTTTTTTTAACATTCCCCACACGTCTCCTGTTCAGGCCTCCACTAAAAGAATGCTTTTTGAGGAATAGTTTGGCAGCTTGCAAGGCTTGCAGTGCTCTGTGGCGGTTTGATTCCTTTTTTGGCCGTGTTCTCGGAGCACCAGGCAGAAGTCTGTCTGCTCCAGCAGAGAGGAAACACACTTAATTTCCCTCCCTCCTTCCCCGACACGCTGCTTTACTGCCTCAGCATGAAAGCCTAATGACCTTTACTGCATTTACCTTCTGACACCTTCCTACAGAGAGCATTTTATTTGAGAATGATACAGTAGTTGCGGAAGATTTACTCTCTTCACTTTGGAAGTATGTATGAGCAGGAGGCAGATGTTAACCAGTTTGACCTAAAAGGTGTACACCAACTCCTGCTAAAGCACGTTCATTCATTACAAAGGCCCATTACTGACTGTGTCACAACATAATGTGTCTCTTTTAGTATGGTCAAGATTTCCTTGATTCGGGAAATCCAAACATAAATAATGCACAAAGATGTTATCAGTCTGGCTTTAAATGCATCTGACATGCATCTAAATCCCATTCCACATAACAGAATTGTAATTTTGTCAGATTAGATTAAAGACATTTGCCTTGCTTCATATTTGACAGTGCATGAAAAGGTCACTGTGTGCTGTTTGCAGCTGCATGAACACTTTTATGGCCCATCTAAGGATTTCCATCAAGCAAAGGATGAGAGGGTCATCCAGACCCTGTGACCCTACAGAAGTGTGGTCTCTAGCTAGCATCTTCCAGACTGCCCTGACCTCAAAGTACATGACAAGGCTGCTGCTAAAACCTGACCTGGGCCTTGTGTAAATGATTATAGTGTATTCATAAATCGCTTGAGAAGCAGGCCTCTGTCAGGACTCAATCTCTCTTATTCTTTGTCTCTGCAGCGAAGCAGGGCTGAATTAGGAGGGACGTGTTCCTTTGTTGCCATGCCAACAGCTCTGTGTTTTGCTGCTCTACTCAGGAGCCAACTGGCCCACAGAGCGCTGTGCTTCACTAAGAGAAAATGCTCCAGCTCCTCTGTCTGTCATTCCAACTGTAACAAAGCATTAGTCTTATGTCACTTATGGCTCGCTCTTTCTTTGCCTCTACTTTTGGTGGTATAAATAGGCAAAGTAGTTAAATCTTCCCATTTTCATCCTAAAAAATACTTTCCTTGGGCTGGACCCTGTAAATTCTTTTGTAGTGGGGAAAAAAGAAGGGTATAAAAGCAAAGGAGAAATCTGGTCTAGAGCAAGTCTGTCTCTCTGGTTTCTACATGGAAAAGCTTAATAAACAGACCCAGGAACAGCTTAAGAGTAACTTAATTGAAAGTGTTATAGCCCAGTGAAATACTGAGACATGCCAAACACAGCGGGGCTTAACCAGCAGCATCTTTCTTTAATAAATGAAGACCTCAATGTGCTAAATGGCTTTGTTTACTTGGCGTAGCCTGTTTGTGCTTCCTGAACAATAACAACCTGGAGCATGTGAGAGACTTGGAGCTGGCACCCATCTCGTTAAGCTGCACAGCTGGCTGAAAACGTGGAGTCGCTCTATGAGGCCTGGCCAGCTGATGACAGGAAGTGTGTGAGGTGGAGGACAGGAAGTTGTTAATGACACTTGGCCTGTAATAAAAGGTTTCTTTCTGTAAATGACAACATGAGGAGAACTAAGGCTGCACCTGTTCACTTTAAAAGTGTGATTTTAAACAGAAAAGGCCAGATTAGAAGAGAATATAGCAGGTACTCTGACAGTAGGCTCAGTGTGTGTTTGCATCACACCTCTCTATATTTGTTTTTGCAAACACCTGCGGCTACCGTGCTATTTGTAAATGACTTATGTCCATATAGTCAAACTGACCATAGATATCACATCTAGAACACAAACATAGTCCTGGAAACCATGCCTGAGATCATTACATGCACTTTGACTTAAATTATCACAGTTCTATAGGAAAATGGTGATTTTACCTGTTTAACTTTGTAATCTCAGCTAGTCACACAAAGATAGGGTTATATTTTCCTGCAGTACTTACACAGGCCGTATTTCCTCATTACATTCTCCACTGAGCATTATATCATCATACTACACTGCGTCAACATGAATATGTCTGATGGTCCTGAGCAAGAACCGACCATCAGTGTGACTAGTGACTGAGCTGATGTCTGAATGACAGACTATAAGACTGGCCGTCTGTTTAAACTGCTGCACAAGTTGCTTATAATATTTGATTGATACAAATTTATGTCTTTTGTGTCATGTCTGACTGAAAATGTGTCATGCTGGGAATTATTTATTTATTACTGAGATGTATGTGAAATGTTTTCCTGACATCAATCAATAGGACTCATGTACACAATCTGAAACTTTGTGACTATCATGTAGTGTTGTATAAATACATTGGTTGACATTTGACAGTTTATTGTTTTTGACTAATGTTGGGTTATTGTATTAGCTCCACAACTATTTTAAACATCTGTAACAACAACATATATATATATATATAGGGCACTGTTATGTTAAGTTCAAGCTGCCAAATTTGGTCAAAATTCATTTTTAGTTAAGGCAGCAAAACATGGCTGAAGGACACACGGAACCGCAGTCACTGAGTTAAGAGTCTATGATGCTGTGGTCAGCACTGATAATAGGCTAAGTGTTAGATTGGAAATGGATTTTGTTGATGAATTTGGTGGTGCTTTTCTAAATGTTTTATTTTATTGTATCAGTTATTTAAAGTGTGGGGTTTGAATCTAGATCAACTGCATTTTTTGGTGGCCACTGCTCAGGGACTATAGATGAAAATAATTAGCTTTTGACTATATCTGGTACAATGAACACATTGTATATTGTCCCTGTCAAATAAAGAAAGAAAGAAAGAAGCCAGACTAACAAAGGAGCTCCTCCAAGTTTCCATTAACATTTCATTATAATCTCAGAGGCTGTCTGATTCCACAAAACCAGGCTGCTACTGCTACTACAGGGAACACATAATATTCAATATGTCCCACAATCAAAAATGTTTCATTCCTCATTCATTTACTTCTTCCCTATCAGCTGACATATTCTCCCCATCCTCTGTTCTTCTGCTGTCCTTAACGGACTTTCAGCCCCTCTCCTCCCTGGATATGCTGCCATAGTTCGTTCCATGGGAAAACATCAAACTTCCCCCCCCCGCCCCCATTCTCCATTCTCCTCGTTCTCCTTGGCTCTAATTGCACACACACCACATAAAACAGAACCAGACTGTTTTCCTTTCCCCCCTCTCCTTAAAACGTAGCACAGAGCAGTTCTTCTTATTCCAGCCTCATGGCCGCTCCTTTCATACACTTTCTCCCCCGTCCCACCTTCCTTCTTTTTGATTCTCCTTATACTATACTTTTCCCTCCCATTCTCTATGTGGGCTTGTATTTCCTATCCAAGTCTAGGTGAAGAGGGCTCTCCACAATCAGTTAGCT